TTTCCTTCCAAGCGTGTTTGGGTCAAACATGACGTTGAACTTGGGCATGGATTTCAAGATTTCCTATGAACAAGTCTGTAGATCCATGGGGATTTCTAAGGGTGGTTGTCCATCTCAGAGTGTCAATGATTTCCCAAAATAAAAAGATCCTTAATATGTTTATAATGCATATACCATCTGTCTTTTCTTCATCAACATATCGGCAATTGGACGGGGCTCATGCAACCACTATAGTCAGTGCTAAACTGCTAATGGCACCTCAGTGACTGGTAAAACAGTGATGTTTGTTTATGTGAGTCTGTGTGCATGGATAATTGGTCTGCTGATGGCTGGGTGGTCTGGGATTATGAGATTTTCTTGTGAGACCAGGATTGCAGTCTGCAAACACTCCTTAGGCTGTTCTGGCGGACTCCTAACCTTAGGAATGCAGTTTTTTTCTCTCATGCTCTGATCATTATGCCTGGCTTGCCCATCCCTCCTTGCCAATTACTACACTATTACGGATCATTTTGAAATTTAATCCGTAATAGGTAGTAGTAATTATACTTTGTCTCAATTTATGTTGCTCACTGACTTGACATAGACTAAGAAAGTGAAATCTGTGTGAGCAAGATAAACTGGGACAGGCCAAATAGGATAACAAGCCAGATGGATTTTTTTTTTGAATCAGGACTGTGATTCTGGGACAAAAGATTTGATAATTTTTATGCAATTCTTGCTATATATGCCATCCATCCCTAAATAAATATAGTTTTAAATAAATAAATGTTATAAAAAGAAGATATATGAAAACTAAATCTTAAAATGCACCTAATTTTATTAAATTTACATCATAACTAAATACATGTTTTACAACGTGGTCAAAGTTTTGTAAAATTTGACCTAAAAAGTCAAATAGTGCATTTCATTTTACTTGGTTCAAGGAATTAGGAGGGAAAGGAAAAGAAAACTTTCTCTCCTTTTTCTCACCAAAATTTAGTTTTTCCTTTTCTTAGTTCATTTTTTCCTCCCATTTTCTTCTCCTTCCACTTTTCTTTTTTTTTTCTTCTCTTTTTTTTTCTTTTTTCTATTCCTCTCAAACCAAACAAGAAAAATCATTTTCCCCATTTTCTTCAGTTTTCCCATTCAAATTCCTTTAACAAAACATAGTGTTAGGGAAGGAAGTAGTAGTTCACATTTTGATTCATCTCGGTAGGCCTCAAGATTTTGGTAGGCTGTGACGATGACTGCATAGAGTTTTATGGGTAGATGAAATCTGTGCCGTATCTTGGCAGGGCAAATGCAGATGAAACTGAGAAATGCAGCCATGGCGGTCTTTTTCTTTCACCCTCTAACATTAAAGGATCTGAGTCTCCATAGTTTCTTACAATTAGTACTCCGTATATACGGAGTATTTAACTTCTCAGCCTTCATTACCCCCTCTCCTCCTCAAACCAAACACACCTTTACCATTTGGAGTTTTGGTCAAAGAAGAAATGAACATTGAATGAGGTTTGCAGAGAGACTTTGGTTTCTTGAAGGGCGGTTGACTCTCTCTGCTATGTCATTGATTTCATCTCCAAAAATTAACAGCCCTTTCATGGATTGGAAGACGTACTTCAGGTTCTGTTGTTCTGATGCTTACTTCCTGTTTCCATGTGTGATGATGATGATGATTATGATAATGATTTCAACAACAACAACAACAATAATAATAATAATAATGATCTTCCGCTCTTTTTTCTCTTATACGTTGTACACCTGTATCCTGAGGCTATGATGAAAATGGTCACTTTGTCGCTGACCCAATTGATTAGGATTGGGTCAACACATACTGTAATGTGGCGGGGCAGGCATGCCAACGAGCATCTCTGCAGCCATTGCGTGTCGGAAGCCAGCACTCAAATCTGAGCCTCATACACTCTTTGGATACTGCTTGATATTGAACTCTGACCTTTTAGAATATACTTTCCATTTTGTTGCCTTTTTTCATTGTATTTTCAGTGGAAAAGAACATTACTTTGTGAAAACTATGGATTCTGAGATGGTCATTCTATTTTGTACCTTCATTTCAAGGAGGCCTATGGCCGCATCCTTGCATATTAGATCATTTTCTTGGTTAGAATGCAAAAGAACTGAGTCTTTCAACCCAAAGAATAACTATGTTTGTATTCTCACCAACTAAAACTTTTCTGTGCAGTAGTATGTCTTCATCTAATTCCTTTTGATAAAATAGTGGTTTGAATATCTAGTTGATTGAACTGAAAAGTTATCAAGTATGTCTTCATCTAAAACTATGATTTATACATATTGATCGAGATTTGCTTAATCCAAGCCGTAACTTGGTGGTCAGATGTGCTAATAGGCATATCTTTGAAGGCATGGCAGCGTTAGAACAACCATTGGCCACCAGCACTCTAAGCCTAAGCCTAAGCTGAGGGGTAGAACAAATTTGAGTAGAGATGATCCCTAGTGGTTTCCAACCATTGGTCTTTGGTGACAAAGCTTCCTTCTCAGTTGTCCTATATCTGAGATTCTGTAACGAGGCTGTGATGATCATTTGCTCTGCTTCACTCTCATTTTTTGGATACAGAATATGGGACATTGGGGATGACCCAGTCCATACATTGGCATGGCAAGCTGGAATTTTCCCTGGATATTTGCAGCCATGGGGGTGCATACCATCTCTATTCAGCAGTCAATCCAAGCCTCACCAAATTAGTATGGTATGTTTGGACCATGGAAAATGCGAGGCAAAGAATAGAACTGGTAAGGAACATTATTTTTTCTGTGTTTGTTTGGTTTTCTTGAAAGATGCAACCGAAAATGAAAAAATGCTTATTTTTTGAACATGTTTAAGTACTGAATTGTACCACCTGTGTGCTTTGGATTTACCAGCATGTAATGACCATGCAGTAATTAACGATCAGTTAATTTGGCATCTTTTCTATCCATATTTGGAATGTTAGTAGATAGTTGTACTAAAAGGCTGTCCGTTAATGAAACGGAGTATGAAATATATTCTCTCTCACACACACACACACTTTTCAAGTTATTCAGTAGAATTATCACTACATATATGTGTTCTGTTTATCTTACTCTCCACTTTGCGAGGTTGGTGAACTATGAGGCTGTTTTCGCAATTGTTACAAGAACACCCAATAGAATCCTACGGGCGTAGTGTTTGTGGAGGTGACTTTACCCATACTCAAAAGTAGAGAGATTGTTTTCACGAAGACTGTTTTCACGAGACCTCCAACACAACTATCTTTGGCAGTTGTTCAAAATCTTTAATTCTTGGTTTTCAATGGGGCAACTCAATCATTATGTTAAGACTCCCTGCCATTAGGTGAAAACACCTTGGAGTTTGTACCATAAAAAAATAGTGTAGTAGTGAATTTAGTTTCTTCCAAATCGTCTCTTCTTTCGTGCGAATCTCTCCACATCATTTTTTTGTCTTTCTTCTAAATTTCTTGCAACTCCTTGCAAATTGTCTTTTTTTTTCTTCTTTTTCAACGACACATATAGGGAGAGGCGAGGATGAGAGAGACAATGATGGGTTGGGTTCGAGGACTGTAGCTTCATTTGTCTTCCTTCCTTTCATTCCAAATGACTCCGATGGAAGAATCAACTTTGAGGGAAATGGAGGGCCTCATATGCTACCTCCCTTTCCCTCACCCACAATTTGCAATGAATAAGCTCTCTCCTATAATCTTTCCTTTCCCTTTATTCTCCACAATCCAAAAACACTGTTAAACTTTATACGGAGGATTCTATTTTTCTAAATTTCTTAAAAATAAAGATTACATATTCTCAGGCCATCTCCAACCGGTTACATTATATTCAAACCTGAAGTATATTACAAGTGTTTCTACTCAGTATATTACGGAGTACAAGTTTTGGTAATTTTAGTGCACAAAGATTTGAATAGATGTAAATAAGTTAAGAAGTGTTTTGTGATTTTGAATACGTAAACAAGGAATCTTCCCTTTTGAATTGTGTTGCTGCTACAATCCACTTTGATTTTATTTTTTTTTTTTTTGAAAATTCTTTGGATTTTCGTAAATAAATAAATAAATAAGGAATGTTCAAATGTATAAAATTATGCATTCGAATGCTAACGAAGACTCTAGCGACTTTTACAAAAAGAGATAAATTCGAAAGTTTTAGCTTACATTCAAACGATCCACGATCAAACGCAAGAATTCATGCAAAAAAAACAGCAAATTCATTTAAGACTGTTACAAACATTCGAACACTTATTAAGCCACACATATGAATAGACCATGATAAGACTAATGTTTCGTGCAACATGCAAGTCCATTAAATTTTACCTATATATAGGAACTTTTGATATGCTTTGCACAACATTGTTGGAGTATCATTCCACATCAAAGCCCAAGAGTAAAATAATCGACATATAAGCTCTTGAGTTGAACTAACTTAGCAATTAGATTCAATCTCTTAATGTGATTCATCCCAAGTGTCTTATTGTCCAATCCAATAACCATTTCTCCATCCTAAATTCTATCACATAATCATTCTTGTAGTTTACAACTTTTTCTTTTATTAAACTTTTTTTATAAGCCCCAAAATAACTTTAACCAAAAAACATACCCCTCCGTCCTAAAATTAATTTCCCATTTGACTTTTCACGGTCTCCAATGCAGCACTTTGACCATTAATATCTATATTTTTATATGAATATATATTATCATAATAATATATTTCAAAACTATGTTTCAAAACGAATCTATTGATACTAAATTTATATGAAAATTCAATATATTTTTTCCGTAATATGTAGTCAAAGTTTAAAAACTTTGACTGCAAAAGTCAAAATGGGAAACTAATTTTAGGACAGAGGGAGTAAGTTTATACGGAGTAAGTTTTCATCACGTTCTTCTGTACCATTCATCATAACGTTAAAGTCACAACCATTAATTGAGTCGAGTAAGTGTTAAAACCCCACATCAGCATCAAATGCATCAAGCGACTCAAGCTGATGGATGGTCTTGAGACTCTAGACTAGAAAATAAATGTACTCTGTAAAATATTTATACATAAAGAAAAAAGTTAGAACAATATAAAGTGGAGTGTAAATTCCACGAAGTGGTCAATTTACAATTGCTACCAAAACATTGTAACTTTCACAAGAGAAGTAAAGGCTTCCAACACATCTTCAACTATGTGATATCATACCATAGATTTCCAGCAGTTGATTTCCAAGCATTCAAGCAAAATCTCATAAACATAATTGGAGCAAAAAAAAAAGTCGTATTCCACAATAGATACACTAACCTCTACTGCTTCTTCACAAGAAATTAATGCTGCAGCTCATCACCGCCACCACTGCCGCCAGCAACAGTTTCGTCACTCTTATCCATAGCCTTCTTGGCAAGCTCGTAGCCGGCGAAATTCATGGCACCAAGAGGGGCAATCCAGAAGAACCTGGGCACAGCTCCCTTAGCTTGAACAGCCCCAAGACTCCTTCGTGCCGGATTATAGAGACTGCCACAATTGATGACAATGAGACTGGACAAAAGGGGTTGGACATTGTTTTATCCCATCGGAGAGTTGTGTTGATTGTCGACGATACGCCTACGGTTTGGGCTGAGAATGACAGGGAGAATGTCTTGACCATATCACCGTATTTCTTTTTCGGGAAGCAGAAGGGCAGTACTGAGAGTGTTTTCTATGATGAGAGCAAAGAACATGATGGGGAGCTTGATAGGGTTCTTGCAGTACTGAGTGAGGTTCACTTTAGGTTTTATTATTATGACAATTTTGAAGGAGATTGTGGCAGCAGAGATGTTGTGAAAGTGCTGGAAAGGGTTCGAACCATCTCTCCGCTGCTGTTTGAACCTCCAGAGATCAAAAAGGTCAGGTTTGGGTTCAAAATGTTGTCTGCGATCAAAAGAAGAATTGGTTTGAGTGTCGTGTGCCGCCAAACAAGTGCATTGCCAAAGTTGGTATCCTAGGTCGTAATAGCAAGGCTCTTGATTGATTATTGTAACAATCCAACGTGCATTTGCCTCGCATCCATCTTTCCTTTGTTTCATTATAGTTATCCTTTATAATTAGCTTTGATTTCAGAATGAGACTCTATATAGAATATATATATACACACACACGAAGCAGACATACTAGTTATATTCAGGTCCCATTTTATTTTAAAACAATTTAGAATTCAAGGCAATTGTGTCATCCCAAAAAAAAAAAAACTAAACATTCTAGAAACGAAACGTCGAAACCAACATATTTCGTTTAAAGTTCTTGAATAATATTTGAAAGGGAATATGAAAACTAAAATCAAAACCTTTGAACTAAATAATTGAAATTAAAAGTTCACAAAACCTTGCCAGTTACTACTCATCTACCGAGGTGTTTAGTACTACTCCCTCCGTTCCAGAAAACCTTTCTCCTTTCTTTTTTCATCCGTCCCAAAAAACACTTCTCAATTCTATTAAAAAATCACTTTTACCCCTTATTTTTTCATACCCTACCTATCACATCATACCTTTTTACTAATAATCTACTCATCAAATCATACTTTACCCATCACATCAAAGGACATTTTTGGAATTTCAATACCAAAATACACTCCCCTTAAATCCCTCTTCAAAATCAAAACTCCCATGTTTTCCGGGACGGAGGGAGTACTAATTATTATCCTTGTTTCAAAATGAATTTTTTAACTTTACAAAATTTAGAAAAATATTATAAAATGAAAATTGAATATTTAAAATTTATTAAAAAAAATATTATAGTAGTAAAAAAAATTTCCCTTAAAAAGAAATGACATAAAATAAATCATATTTTGAGACATAAAGTTTGAAGTTAGTTGTGAAAACGGAAAAAGTATCTAACTAATTAACTACTCCCTCCGTTCCCGAAAACTTTTTCTGTTTTAACTTTTTTTGATCTGACATCTTTTGACTACGAATTGTGAGAAAATTTATTTAATGAATCATAATATAAATTTAATAGAATTGAGTTAATCTAGGATATAGTTTTGGTATATTAAATTTTTTTAATATTTATTTATTTACATTATGCTTAATTTGTGATCAAAGAATGTCTCTGTTTGACAAACAAAATCAAAAGAAAAAGAGTTTTCAGGGATGGATGGAGTATATTATTACATGGTTAAAGATATGCATGGAATGTGATCATTAGAGTATGATTATAACTAAAATGACATGACTATATTTCTCATCGGTACTTCTTTTGTAATCTTTAAATCTAAATTTATTTTATAGACCTTAATAAATGCAGAATAAAATGATTACACGTATTGATCATTGTAAAACAAAAAATTCAACTATAAATTAAACCTATAAAAAAATGTGAGAACTTACATTTCACCCTAATAGCACAACTATTCTACATAACATATAACTCACTCAGAGATTCAATGTTTAAAAAATGACTTATGTAAGTGATTTTTCCCATTTTGTGGTGTTTGATTACATTGGAAAATGAAAGTCAATGGAAAATAAAATAATGGTCAATGGAACATGAGAGCTTATTTCCGGATTTTGTCTTCCCGAATTGAAATCGAAGACATTTTCCATCTCGCTAGAGAACGCGCAGAGAAATTATATGGTGGACCTAATGGACTTACATATGAGTAAAGTAAACATTTTCTTATAGGCCGTGTTTGGAAAACAGCATTTGAGATAGCTTTTGGCATCTTTGACTGACTTTGGCTTTTTTGACAAGGCGAACCGCCAAAACCATTGTTTGGCTAATGGCTTTTTCACTTGGCATTTTGATCCGAAAAGCCAAAATCTGAAATGCCAAGGAGAGTAGCATTTGGACTTGGCGGTTAGGAAAAATAAATTTTTTAAAATCATTTTTGTTGAAAGATATTTTATAATATATGTAAAAAATTAAAATAAAAATAAAAGTTAAAAAAATTAAATACTAAAAAAATAAAATTTAAATTTAAAAATTTCAAAAAAATGAAATGAGAAAAAAAAAAGCAAAAATCATTAAAAAAAATTTATATTTTTAATTTATTATGAATTAAATGAAATTAAAATTTAATACTCTATATAGTAAAGATTTAATACATGTAAAAAATGAAAAATAAATATCATGTCTCTCTCTCTCTCTCTCTCTCTCTATATATATATATATATATATATATATATATATATATATATATATATATAGGAAAAACTATTTTCAAACAGCTAATTTTACCAAACATTTTTAACGATCAACCAATTTATTCTGTCAGTCAAACCAGCTAAACTAAACAGCCATTCACAACAGCTAGCACGAACTACCAACAGCCAACAGCTGACAGCCAGCATCCAAACAAGGCCATAACATAAATAAGTTTATGTTTTTTAATAAAAAAGATTTTTTAAAATTTTTTTTATGTGGAAAGATCTACAAAAATTGTACCGACCAAAAAACACTATAGCTAGCGCAACCTCCATCTTCTTGGCATCTCTTATGCTTGCACCCTCCTTCCTCCATCCCCTTCTTCACCATCTCCTTCTTTTCACTCGCACCTGACCTTCCTCCTCTCGTCTTCTTCTTTGTCATCTCCCTCTTCGCTCAAAAGGTCAAAACCCAGAGAAATATTTACACTAAATAACACTAAAACTTAAGTCATTTCCCTAAATAGCACTTAAACTGTTTTATTCCTTAAATAGCACTTAATAATGTTCATAATGTCCAGTGATGGTGAATATTTGCTTGAATAATGACTAATGCATAATGACTAAAAGTGTTACATTGGGAAGAAAAACACATGTGGTGCTATTTAGGGAAAGTCATTATGTTTTAGTGCTATTTAAGTAAATTCCCCCAACTCAAAAGCAAATACAGATCTAGTCATTGCTTCTTCCTCTTTTCTTCTGAATAAAGAGCAAGCTCTAAAAATTTAAATAGATATAATCCATCCAGAAAAAAAGAAGTGAGAATCTGAATTCCTCTAGTCGTCGCCCAAATATATTCACAAATCAAGTTCGAAGGGCTAACTTCGAACCACACCCAACATACCAACTCTTTGCATTCAAGGTATTTATTTACCAGTGATTTCAGGATAGGAACGTGTTTCAGGGTTGAATACTACCATTAATTGAGTATGAAAACCTTCAGTTTGATGATAATTATGGCAAAAATTATTGCTTAGAGCCAGGTGAATTTGTAATTTTTGTAATACTGTTTTTTTATATTCATATTTTGGAAATAAACCAAACAAAGATATACAGATATATTTCCCACTTCTGGCCTAATATATAAAAAAACGGTCGCGCTAGGGGTACACCTCCCAATTCGACACCATATACACCCCACTTCTCATGACCTCACCCTCTCTCCTTAACTCTCACCCAACCCTGTCATTCCCAGATCTCTCTTTCTCACTCAAACTCTCTCTTCCTCTCTAGATCGATCTCCCATCTTTCTTTCTTCCCCGCCGGTGATCAACGTAACACCACACATTCATCTTTTCCGCCACAAAATTTGAACCTGGGATTCTCGATCTTTGCCGCCCCATCCTCTTCGCTACCCAGAAGTTGCACGGCGTGGGTTCCCCATCGCCGCCTAGAAGCATCCAAGAGCGGCATCATCATCAAGATCTGGATCGGAGCGGGGCGACAAACAACTCCTTCGATTCCTTCACCGCCACATGTTTTCTCGTCATTGCTCGCTCCTCCTTGACCGCCATAATGACTTTCTTTGTCGTTAATTGCGTCACCAGAGCAGTAGATTATGGCAGAGATGGTGGCGCAGTTTTGATTCAGATTTCACAAATAGTAAATGTCCGTGTTCAAGAAAATAAAGATGTTTAGTGTCTGTGTGACTAAACAGTATTAATTGTAATTTTCTTTTCTTTTTTTAACGTAGAAAAATTTGTGAAATGTTCTTGGTACTGTACTATTTCGTAGATTTGAAAGGTGAAATTTTCATTTGAATTACACAAATAATAAATGTCTGTGTATCAAGAATTATAGATTTTTAGTGTTTCTATAACTAAATAGTGGTAATTATAGTTTTTTTTTCTTTTTTACAATCTAGAGTAATTATGGAACATTCTTTATGATAGCATTATTAATTGGTATATTTGATAGATGTAATTTTTTATTTAGGTTTTACAGACAATAAGTTTCTGTTTACGATGAATTATCGACGATTGTTGTCTGTGTGACCAAAACATACTCCGTACTTAGTATATTTTTGCAATATAAGAAAAATATCATGAAATATTCTTATTATTGTATTATTTGGTATATTTGAAAAGTGCGATTTTCATACATTAAACACAACTATTAAATGTCTGTATTTAAATAATTAAAAAGTTACAGTGTCTGTGCGACCAAATTACAAAATATGTTTGAAACTAATTTAATTGACATTTTATACTGTTGCAATTTTCACCCAAGTTATGCAAAGTGTTTAGGAGAATTACATACATTTAGTGTCTATGCGACCAAACACTTCATATTGTTTTTTTTGGCATTTAAAAAGTTACAAATATGTAGTATTTGTGTGACCAAAGGCTTCTTACTTCATTTGTTTCTTTTTACAGTATAAGATTATTAGATTATTCGACAAGTGCAATTTTCATAAAAGATACACGAAATTAAAAAGTTGTGTTTAAATAAATAGAAACATATAATGTATGTGTGGTCAAACCATAGTTTTGAAAAGCAGACCGGCGATCGAACCGGCCGGGGCACTGGTTCACTGGTTGAACCAGTGGTTCGAGTGGTCGAACCGGCGGTTCGAACATTTTTTTAAAACACTATATTTACACATATTTCTTACTACAAATCAAACTATTATGTTCCTACAATACCAAATTCTTGAATATAGTTTCCAAAAAAGTAAGTTTAAGAGTGTTACATGTCAAAATAAGGTACAATATGAATTGTCAAAGGGTGTTTGAATTATAAAAAAATGATCATTGGGAGTTTAAAAAATCAAAGAGCAGCAAAAGGGCTAGTCAAATAGAAACTCTTAGTTAAAAAAACCATGAATGTAAATATCAAAAAAGAGCAGAGCTTAGCTAAACCCATTCTCAACAGTTACTTAACTTTCAATTACTAATGCCAATCTCATACTAGTAAAAAAAATTGGAGTAGTCATTATCCTTAAAAAATTGTAGTCATTTTCTACTAAAAGTATACTTTATCACTCAAAGTCACTTTAGGCTAAGTATTGAAAATTAGAGACCATCCTCTTCAAGCCAATTCGTAGAAAACAAGTGGAAAACTAATAGTATAAAATTCATAGCCATTCATCAATCTCTCTTCCTCTGCAAATTACTGTGCGGAGATGGAGCCTTATGCATCGGAGATGGAGAGGAAGATGACCGGAGATGGAGAAGAAGATGACCGGAGATGGAGAGAGGATCGAAAATCAAAAGTGGTGGAGAAGAAGAACCGACAATAGGGTTCTGTACTTTTGTCGGCCCATACTCTGTGTTCCGTGTTAGTTCCGTCACTTTGCTTTTTGCTTTTAGATTTTACTCCCTCCCTCCCGAAATAAATTACAATATTCCCTCTTTTGTCCCAAAAAGAATTACAAAATCAATAACTTTACAAGAAATTGACTCTTTTACCCTCCCACTCCTACACTATTCACACACTATTCATCCATGTGAGTGGGAAGGATACTTGGGGGATTTGGGGGGTAATTTGGGGAAAAAAAATTTGATTTGACTCTTCCTTAATTTCAACAAAAATGGAATATTATAATCTAAAGTGAGGCGGAGGGAGTAGAATTTTTATTTAAAGTTAAAAAAAAAGGTAGAAAACCGGAACCGGTAAAAAACCGGCCGATTCATCCCGATTCTCAGTGGTTCGCAGCATACAACGGTCTAATGGGGCGGACCGGACCGGTTTAGGCACCGGTTCGCCGGTTTCCGGTCCGAACCGGCCGGTCCGGTCCGGTTTTCAAAACTATGGGTAGGTTAGAGCCACATACGGGGGTTTGAGGGTTGGGTAGAAATTAGGTTTAAGGATAGAAATGTCGATTTCAGGAAAATGTATAGTTCTTTATGAGACAAAGACTTTATGAAACGTGTAAATCTTTTTGAGGGGAAAGAAATAGTTAATCAGTTGGAAAAATTTATACCAAACCGAATCTAATTGGGAGACTGAATCCCAGTCCAAAAATGGACCTGTCCGGTCCAATTTTTACCAGGTTTTTGGGTAATAATGCAGCGCCCTACATAGAGCAGGCACACGATTTCCACCTTTGGTACGCATTTCAAAAACTATATTACAGATTTTCCGTCTTATATGCATTTAATGATGAGGAATTACAGAGTAATTGATTTATGTTCTTGTTGCTGCATCTGCGTTCAATCATGTTCGTTCGTTCGTGTTAAGTCGTAAGCTAAGTTGCCAACATCTTAGGGTTAGAGTCTTTGGGCCATTGATAACTTGGTTTGACATCATACTGTGCGATTACTGCTCTTAGTTTCATCATGTTTAATGAGCTTAAAGAATGGCTGCACAATATATAGGATCTCTGGTCCATTTCAAAGCATGCTTATGCATTTCCTTGTGTCATATGCTTCTTGAGCAATTCTTTCAACTTCAGATTCAGTCTTAGAAATTAAGTTGATTTGCTGACAAGAAAATCTGCTGGACCCCTAATGAACCAACTGAGAAAAATTCATGCCCACACCCTGAGAAACGGTCTGAATTTTACTAAATTCTTGATAAATAAACTCCTTGAGATACCAAATATCCCTTATGCCCACAAGCTGCTTGACAATACTCCTAACCCAACGATCTTCCTATACAACAAGCTCATTCAGGCCTACTCTTCTGATGGCCCTCACGTTCATTGTTTGTCTCTCTACATCCAAATGTGCCGGCAAGGTTGCTCCCCAAATGAACACACTTTCACCTTCCTCTTCGTTGCTTGTGCTAGCCTTTCAAGTCTTAGATTGGGTCAAATGTTGCATTCGGATTTCATCAAGCATGGGTGTCAGTGTGATATATTTGCATTAACTGCATTGGTTAACATGTATGCTAAAACGGGCTCAGTTAGTTTGGCACGAAGGCAGTTTGATGAGATGAAAGTAAGGGATGTACCCACATGGAACTCACTGATTGCTGGTTATGTCAAGAGTGGGGATATGGAGGAAGCTTTGTATTTGTTTTCAAAAATGCCTTCAAGGAATGTGATATCTTGGACTTCAATAATATCTGGTTATGCCCAAAACGGTCAGTATGGGGATGCTCTGGCTATGTATAGACAACTGGAGAAGGAGAATGGTGTGAGGCCAAATCAAGTGACAATAGCCAGTGTTCTTCCGGCTTGTGCAAATCTTGGCGCTTTAGAGGCTGGGCAGAAGATCGAGGCTTACGCAAGGGAAAATGGTTTCATCAAGAATATGTTTGTTTGTAACGCCGTACTTGAATTGTACTCAAAATGTGGCAAACTTGAGACAGCAATGGAAGTATTTTTCGAGATGGGTCAGAGGAGAAACTTGTGCTCTTGGAATACTATGATCATGGGTTTAGCCATCCATGGAAAAGGCAATGAAGCACTCAGTCTCTTCAACCAAATGTTGGTTAGTGTTCTTTATATGAGTTTCGGATCATTGGTTGTGTTCTTTCATCAGATACAAAACTTTTGGTCTTTATTTAAACTCCATTTTTTACAGGAAAATATCTCCTGTTGTATTTTCTCTGTTTGACACACAAAAACATTTTCCTAAAATATTTTCCGATCTTCGGAACCAGAATATATTATCCAAATGGAATACTAATCTTGAATTTTTTTACTTTCGTGGAAAATGACTTCCTAATTTTCGAACGGGTTTTTGGGAACAAAACATTTTATTATACGGAGAAGTAACATTACATATTTTCTAGGAAAGCATTTTCCTTCAAAAAAAAAAATTCGAGAACCAGTAGATTATTTTCCCTTATACAAATGGGACCTTAGTGTAAACACTACTTTGGTTGGAATTCAGGAAGAAGGAATTTCACCGGATGATGTTACATTCGTAGGAGCAATCATGGCATGCACACATGCTGGAGGCATGGTTGCAAGAGGATGGGATATCTTCAAGTCCATGGAACGAAAATTTCACATTGCTCCTAAACTGGAGCATTACGGATGCATGGTTGATCTTTTAGGGCGTGCGGGGAATTTGGAAGAAGCTTATGATCTCATACAGAGCATGCCCATGAAACCCGATTCTGTTGTTTGGGGGGCTCTGTTAGGAGGGTGCAGTTTTCACTACAATGTTGAACTCGCAGAGAAAGCCGCGAATTTCCTATCTGAATTGGAGCCGTGGAATCCGGGAAACTATGTCATTCTTTCAAACATATATGCAAGGGCAGGGAGGTGGGATGGCGTGGTGCGTCTACGCAAACTGATGAAGGGGTCCCACATCCGAAAGGCTGCAGGTTACAGTTTCATTGAAGGAGGAGGGCGAATTCACAAGTTTATAGTTGAGGATAAGTCACACCCAAGTTTTAATGAGGTATATGCACTCCTTGATGAAATCATAGCCAAGTGTAGATCTTTTGTAAATGGAATCTATATTGATTCTGATTTTGTTATTGAATAAGAAGAGCTAGTAGATCACATTTTTTTGTTTTGTTATGCTTAGAGAATGTTAATCAACCAAAATCCATCTCAGCGTCCTGTATGGATATGACTGCCCTTTTTTATGAGGGCCGTAGTAGCCTTTTGAGCGCCGAAGACTACACTTAGGCCTCGTTTGGTACACGGAATTCAAACTATGGAATTGGAATTGAAGACCTCAATTCCAATTCTGGTGTTTGGCAGCACAAAAATTATATGGATTTGGAATTGATAGTGCAAAAAATGAATTGGAATTGGTGAATTCAATTCTATGGAATTGAGTCCCATGGAATTTCAATTCCAATTCAATTCCAATTCCATCAATTCCGTATACCAAACGGACCCTTATTTCCAAGAGAAATTTACCTAAATAGGACTAAAACATAACGAGTTTCCTTATTAAGTCCTATTTAGGGAATAAAAAAGTTTAAGTCCTACATTATGAAAGTCATTATGTTTTAGTCCTATTTAGTGTAAATTTCACTATTTACAACTCTTTGTAAGAAATTTTTGTTGGATTTTAAGCGCGTAAGATACCGAAAAATATTGAGAACACCAGAAAAATGAGAGAACAAATCCAAGAAGAATATATGAGAGAAAAAAAATTGTATTTCCACTATTTCAGGACAATATACAAAAAACTCTCCCCTGTTTACAAGATTAAATTTCAGACACTCATAAACAGATCTTTCCACATCCTATGCTCGGATGTATTTTTTCCGAGTAACTAAAACCAGTTACTCACTACACTCATTCACACTCACCAAGACCCCTTGAATTTTTCCGGTGGTATTCTTGTGTAAAATTCCTCCTATTTTCTCTCTCTACTTTGGTGGTGTGTAAAACCCACACACACACACAAGCTATTCTAAAAAACCCAAGTTATATACATGCGTAGTGATTCCCATCCAAGAGGAAGATGGTAAATGCGTCCTTAACATAACATGTATACAACCTCTCACATGCATGTATGATGGATGCATCCACTACACCATCCATATCTTCTTTTTTATCTCTTTTGTCCTCTTCCTTATTTTGAGTTCTCTTTCTTCTTCTTTTTTTTCTTTTTGAATATTAATCAATATTTCCCAACAATTTTATAGCTTGTTACTCGTATTCTCTTTTGATTTCATGGATATGATGGCCCCGTTTGGCATCAGCGTTAGAGATTAGCGTTAGCGTTTTGAAAAAGCTATCCGACGGTAACCTTTAGCGTTAGCGTTTTCAGAATTAATCTGCACCATTAAAATTTTATCCAAAACGCCAACGCTAATCGAAAAAGCTGTTACCAGACAAAGCCGATATCTGATTTCCTACTTTTTCCCATAAAAAAGTTTTAGCTTTTTTGTTTGACACAAGGAAAGATTTTTCTTTTTTTGAGGAAGAAATTGTGCGCTTAGAGCATTGGCAGGGGTTTCCACATTATGAACAAAATGCGACCATATACTTTTATTCTTATTAATAATTGTGTTTGGTGACTTTGTGAAATTTTATTGTGAAAGAGAGGTTCATTTCTTCCTTGAATCAGGGAAGGTGTCGATTTGTCATGGTTATTAAATCTTACTCCGTATTTTGTGCCTAGTTAGAAAAGGGATCATTTTGTTATTTTAGTTTTTTAGAATTACTACTAAAATGGGAATTGTCTTCTAACTCTTTTTTCGAGGGGAAAATTTAGGACTGTATACGGATAATATATACGACATATATGGCATATCTGAATCCGTATCAGATTGATAATTCTCGATTTTGGATATACTCAGATCCGATTACATATTCGAAGTTGATCAAATATTTGAATCCGACCGAATATCAATGCGTTCAAACCCGAAAACAAAATTATAAAATGGTGGTGGAGGAGTTCAAACCCAACACCTCCAACCTTAAAATTCAAAGTTGCAGTCATCTAGGCTAAATCAAACGCTTGGTATTTGTAAACAGTAATTAATATATTTTTTTTCTTAGTACATGTCGTGTTCTAATTTTTTTTACAAAATAATCTACATATAACTGTAATACTTTACATTTTTTCTTTTTGAGTGGTGTTCCGTTGACACTCTCCAACAATGCAAATAGTTGGTGACACTGCATTTTTGGAGCACCTCTAGTGCTCCGTTTAGAAAATGTATGGCTATTAGGGGTGTTAGGGGGTAGGAACTATCAATTTTTCGAACGGAGCATCAGAGATACTAAAAAAATGTAGTGACACCGCTTGTGACATCGTTGGCCAGTGTTAACGAAACCGTGCCCTTTCCTCAAATAAACTTCGTATTATTTATAATTATACGCATACTTATATTATGTGATACTCTCTCCGTCCTGCAGTATTCCTCCATTTTCCGTCCTGCAGTATTCCTCCATTTTCATAATGGCTCAAAAACCAAGTGAAGGAGAATAAAAGAAGAAAAAGACACATCTACCCCTAGTTTTGGAAAACGTCCAGACCAATCCTTCGCCGCCCAGCCCAATACCTTCCCCACCGCATTCCCGTTTTTTGTGCCATTTCAAAATTTACCAGCGATCTACTGACTTCAAAATCTAACGAGCTTTAAAAAAAACCTTCATGCAAATGGGGTGGACAAATTTTCAGATTTTAAATTTTCTTGGGATATTTTTTTTTTTTGCAAATTACTGTAATAATGGTTATGAAGAGACAAGTGATTGAGCTCTTAAAAGATACAAGAATAGATCTGTGTGCCAAGGGATCGGAGATCTGTGTGGCAAGGGAACCAATCTGAAGAGACGATTGATTGAGCTCAGATTAAGATTTCAAAAGATACAAATTCATAATCAACCAAGTACTTTTATGAAAGAAATTGTAAGACACTAGAGGGTTGTTTGGCAACTTCTGAATGGGTAAGTGCTGAACCAGTAAGAGGTCCGAACCATTAAGTGCTGAACCAGTAAGAGGTCTGAACCAATAAGGGCTAGTATATTGCTTAACTATTCAGAGGCAGAGGCAAATGTCTGATCAATTCAGATAAGAGGTCTTAACCATTCAGACTCTGTATAATACTTAACCATTCATAGGCAAATCTCTTACCCATTCAGACATCTGAACCATTAAGAGGCTGAAACAAACAGTCTGAACCATTAAGTGCTGAACCATTCAGACATCTGAACCATTAAGAGGCTGAAACAAACAGCCCCTAAGGTTAGAGATTTAGAGGGTAAGGTATATTCTTGAATATATGGGCCAAATATAAATGTATAATGGGCTGGATAGAGGATTAAATTTATTAAAAAAAATTATTCATTACTTGGACAAATAGATATTCAGATAAATAGTTATTTAAACAAATATATATCGGAATTGGATTTTAAACGGACCAGATATATAATTACCAAATTCATATCCGTTTAGTCATCGGATGTCTTTAATCGGATACAGATAATATCCGTTTCAAACGGATGCAGATTATTCACGTTTAAACGGATATAGATGTGGACGGTAATTGAATTTTCAGTAATCTATCGACAATCCTAGGAAAACATAAGTTTTCCTTTTATCACGAAAAGATTTTACATTATGCTGGATGTATGATGTATACCAATAGAAAGTTTTTATTAAAAAAAATATGAATAGTGAAATAAGTAATACTCCATCCAAAAAAAATTCTTATTCGCTATTTCAAGGTAAAATTTTAATCGTTTTTTAGATTATTTTAATTACTGATTTTATAAAATAATATAATATTACCACATTTTTAATACTCGTTTATGTAAATTTAAATAATTTTTTATGTAAATTTTAAATATATAATTTTTTAAAAAAATTACCTTGATTTTCTTATATATTGAGTAGTCATAAAATAAATTACCTTGAGTAGTCATAAAACATAAATTCAACAAATCATGATTTGCAACGAGAAAACCTTTCTAGGACTTTGTATAAATTGTATTCACTACTCCGTATACTTTTCGTTATCTATGACTAATAGAATCACATTATTCGTGTAAAATTTATTAAGTCATCTTATATTAAAGATGCAATATTTGGGTCAAAATTCCTACCACCAAGCACAAATGTAGCGTTTAGATTTTAAAATTATTACTCGGTCTCATTTTTCTTTACGGAACGTGTTAAATATGATCAAATACAGAACAATGACCCATAAATTGGTTGTTATGATTTTTAGCACTTGTTTATAGGATCCAACTTTTCAAAAAAAACAAAAAAAAAAACAAACAATTACGTACGGAGTTGAAGACGCCCATCATTCACACCTTCCTTGACCAGTGGAAATCCTGAGGAGTCAAACCATGGGGTTTGAAATGCCCAATATACCCCTGCCCGCCCGCCCCCTGGTTTTACATCCTCTTCCCGAACCCTGCGAGTTTCCGGGCAACTCCAAATATAAGAGCCTTGGTGAGCAGGCCGCGGTCAATGCTACAAGCAACCGCAACTGCGCCGCCAACAATGAGAAGCTTAGGCACATTCCTTCCACTTGGCTTCTTATCTCCTTCTTCTTCACAAGATGCTTCTACCTCACTCTCACTTCTTCTCCCCAGTGACTCCAACTCATCGTTCGTCACTTTGGTGTTGATTTGAGCCATGAAAGCACACCTTGACAACGTGCCCCCATCCGACAATGCTTCTCTGTGCCTCTGATATGCACGCAGACCGGGGTCAATCTTCTTCACAGCTCCCCACATGCCCTGCTTGACCCCAAGCTTTGCAATTTCCCATGGTATGCCCATGTCCTCATGGTGGAAGAGTATCACCTCGCACGCACTCTTCTCCCCTTCTCTTTTGTTTGATTCAGCTGCAGTTTCATTGGCAAGAAGTTCACTAAACTCGTTCTCTGGAAGTAACAATACTATGCAACAAAGGGACAAACCACATTCCAGTTGAATCCCACAAAAGTAGGGTCTGGAGAGGGTCGGTGTACGCAGACCTTACCCCTACTCAAAAGTAGAGAGGCAATTTAAACATCTAGGTAAAAAAGGGTCAAGCATAATAAGTGAGAGACCAAAAATGGAATGTTCTCTTGTTGATGCAACAAAGTTTTACCTGGCCGAATGCACCAACTTGAATAATACAAATCAACACGTCTTGGTTTGGTTTTTTGTGGAACGGATGAATTCGGCACACCCTGAAACAAGTCGCTACGAATTGATGATCTCTCAACTTTGAAAGGGCATTAACAATCAGCCGTTTAATATGTTTGCTCACCTTAGTAACACAATAATATGTTTGCCCAGATTTCCATATCCGACGGCCAATAATGTATTCTCTATCACTACAGAAGAACGGAAACTGCAGCAAAAGGGGGGCTTGGGCATTATCCAATCAAAGGCGGATTCAAAGGGGAAAACAATCAAAAGCACAAACTAGTGGCACACCTTGCGTACCCACTGCACCACCATAGTTCCAGTGGTAGGACAATCTTCAAGTGTTTGAGCATGTATAAGCATGTCATCCCACTTCGTTCGAAATTCATCATCCCAAAAGAAATCCCTCACCATTTCGGGGCTAGCATCCTCATACACAGTTCTACTCCGATATTGCGGGGGTCCGGTCTAACACCATGTCAAATTGAATTGAGTATAGATGAACATAGCAAAATATATTGACTTGGGTGATGGTTGTTTTTCTATGTATGTTTTCTAGAATCTCAATGTTTTGTTCAACAACAAAAGAAAGTGGAGTATCATTTACCAAAGCTGAATTCGTATTAACATCAAGGAATTTATGCAACTTCCTAAACGATATATATGCGTAAATACGACTAAAAAGAAGTATCTTAGCTCCAGATTGTATCTACCTCAGGGTCTCTACGCCAGGCCTGGTAACTCATGTTCGCGGCAGTCCGGTCCATCATTGGAATCCAGGCAGGGCCACCATCTTTCTCTTCAACTAACAGGTACAAATGATGAAGGTCATTCTCATCAACAGCTCCAGAATTTCTGTTTTCCTGAACCGATGCGCTGCATATTTCCCAATTCAAATCCCACTCTCTCAGCTAGAACGATTTCAAAACCCGAACTTCAATTTGTCTTTGTTACAAATACGAGCAATAAATAGAAAGAATATATATAACTGACCTGGTGGTTGGGGCCTGGAGGGGTGAGGAGCTCTCTTCAGAAATCCATGAAATGAATCTGGGAAATTGCAATTTCATATTAGGGATGGAGGTGAAGGCAGTGAATCTGGGCCTCCATGCCCATCCCACAACAACTCCCACTGCCACAGCCACCCAGATAGGCGTCGCGAACACCATCATCTCAACTACAACATCCCCAATCGAAGGCTTTTGGAGAATTTCAAGCAAAGCCGATACCAAAGCCATTAAAAACAGAAAAAACCCAAACGAGAAATTTCAGAAAGAGAAATTTCAGTCGGATAAAGATTGAGCCTTTAAGTATATAAAGACGAAAGATAAGAGATTAGTACTGCAGTCTGAGATTAACAGGTGACGCGGAAAATATGTACCACTCGGCTCGCAATAGGTGGTGGAGTGGTTTGGGAAATTCAAGAAAAATTAGATAATTATGTGTGTATTTTATTTGCAGAAGAGAGAGAGAGAGTTGGGGGGGGGGGGGGGGGA